TTTTTTTTTTTTTTTTGTTAAATAGGATGGTGTATTAACAACGGACGAAAAGAGAGGAACGAAAAGGAAGCTAAGGGATGAAAATTATAAAATTTTTAAATTAATAAAATTATTCTTAACGGTCCATTAAGTCGTATACATTTCTTACCACTGCCACAATTGGGATCCCGTCAGTACGACATATTACACATTTTTCGGTATTTAAGCCGCAATTCCTGGGAGGTCATTGCAACAGGCAGATGCTCAATTTTTACATTGTAATAGGATGAATTGTATTCGTATTTCTTAACGGTTCGTCTGTTCCAGCACCACCTGTTGGCTGCTGTTTAAGCAGTCATAGGAGGACGGCACTCCTTTGTTCACTTATGGATTTTATTACAAAATTTTATTAGGCAGCGCTTTTGCCTTTGTGTGTAAAAAAACATCGAAATAGAGAGAGGGTTTTGAATTTTGATATATTGTTAGCGTATTTCAGAGACGAACTGATGGCGCTTTATAGTCGATCAACCAAAATCATTGATGAAGCATTGCCTGTACTGGAAGCAAGTCGCAGCTCAGTTCTTTTCGAGAAATTATGCGAAAACATAGGTTTGTTTCAAACATAGTTGCTTTGTTGATCGTAAATTTTCTTGGACATTTGCTTTGAATATTAACGCATTATCTGACAATGGATCATTGTAGGATCTCCGGATATTTCGGTTTTGAGCTGCTCTCCGTGCCTGATATGCTCGGATGCTAGTCGTCAAATGATGGAATTGAAATTGTCTACAATAAAACTGGATTCTCGTTTCACCACTTCAGCGCAAATGATTAAACTTATGGGTCATTTTGAGGTACAAACTTTCAGGTCTTTTTTTTTTCAGAAAAGTATTCACTGCTTTACAGGTGCACGCATTTTTTTTACATGTATGCACGCATATTTATTTAATTTTTTACGTATGATGATTTGCAGATATCCAGGATCATAATTCGTCTGAACGAAATTAAACGATCCAAAATGATAAAGCGTTTCAAATTTTATCACTGCAATAAAGTGCTGGAATCGGCGGTGGATCTAAAAAATCGGCCTCAACTTTGGGAGAAAGTGGCTGATGTGCAGGTAAAACTGCTAAGATCCCAAAAAGAATTTGTGAATTAGATATTTACAAGATAAATACTAAAACCCAAACATAAATTTGTAGTTTTTGCTTGTAAGTTAGCATGAAAATTTCACAGTAGCAAAGTAATTTTACAGAACTGAATTCCCTCGTTCAGCCTGATGGATTTGGCATTAGTTATTGGTACACCTCCTTAGTTCCAAATAGTTATCACAAGTTTGACAATGGCGAACCCAGTTTCCTTCTTCCTCCAAGATTCATTTTGGTGATGCACTCGTTCAAACAATCAAATAGTCTTCTGTTTGTGTACTGAGTAATTTCCGAAGGTATTCGCTTTTTCACTAAATTCTACTATTAGCAGGGCATGCCCAGTCCAACTACATTCTCAGTCACAAATCATGGAAAATGAGGGTTTTCTTCTTAATTTATTTGAAGCAAAGGTATTCATCTGTCGCTTTCAGCATTCACTCCACGATAGGTTTTTTTAGAGTCAAAGGACAGGGGTAGATTTATGTTAATCATTATTTGTTTAGGTTAGTCAGGGAAGCGGTGAAATCGATGTACAGCTGCCATTACCAGTAGTTACATGCAATGTTGTACTGGAAATGGCCGAATTTCATGAAATTGCAACAGCAAGCACATCGGACGCACCGGAATTGGTCCACTGTCCACGATGCTCCACAGCAGTGCCACCAAATCCAGGGATTTGCTCGAATTGCGGCGAAAATGTTTTCCAATGCATAAAATGTCGCGCGATTAATTACGATGAAAAGGTTTTGCTCTGCTTTATCTCTAAATAAAAAACCGAAAATCATTACAGCCCATCGTCATCAGAGATAAAATGTGGAGGTTACCAATTAAACCTCGAAAAAGAGGTCTTTCCGGCCACTCCTCCAAGCATCTCGTATGATTTATTTTTCAGGAACCGTTTCTGTGTAATTCTTGTGGATTTTGCAAATATGCACGTTTGGAGGCAATGATTGTCGGCCGCTCAACACCATCTGTACAAACTATTGAAGACGACAGGGAACGAGGAACGGTAAATTTTTACTGAATTAAAATTATCAAAACACGCTGTAGTTGAATCGGCACTGCTCAAAACAACTGGAAATATTGCCAGCGGCATAGCTGGAAATATATGTGGGTATATCTGAATCGTGCAAATTTAAAACCAACTTAAGTTACATATTTTTTTTTGATCTGCAAATTTACAAATAATCGCCAAAGTCAGTCAGTTGTAACGTCCAACCTATGGGCAGTCCATTACCGATTTTACTGGAAACCCCCTAGCAGATTGCAACTTCCAAGTTAACACTGGAAGTGCAGATGACAGAGTGTGAAGATGTAGGAAAAAGTAGTAGTGTAAATTGAAGAAGTTTTGGGCGAGATAAGACGTTTCGGTCCATTAAGTCATATAATGGTTGGAGCAGATATGAACTGCATGTTATAATATCACACGACTTTTAAACGTATATATGCCAGCCTTACTGAGAGCTGCTTGAATAGTCATTTGTGTTCTGGTAAGTACGATTCACTGTTGCTCGATACTGGCAGCTGCAGCACGAGCAGAATATCTCCTCATTGGATTTTACTTTTTCGCATGGTCATAAAAATGTAACACCGCGTATCTGATGAAGTGTTTTGATGTTTTTTTTTTTTTTTATTTGTGATTATTTACTTATGATTATTTATTAATGATTGCTTATTAATGATTATTTATGATTATATTTATTTATGATTGTTTGTGACACCCAGTGATCTTTCGTTTTATCGCTCCTTCTCTCTCCCACTCTGGCTGTACAAAATTTTCGTCTTTCTCTGTTTTACACTTAGCTGGGAAAGCCAACATAAACTATTCGCCGAAGCGAAGTTAGTG